AATTTATCTTACTTTTTATCTATTGATTGATTAATCCATATCGAGTATTGTATAAACCTACTATGTAACATGGTCGGTCCTGGGCTAGGGCAAGAAGGGTGCCCGCTCAAGGCAAGGCCCATAAAGTTAAAAAAAAAAACCCAGTATTGATACCCATTCAAACAGTATCGATACTGCTTGTAGGGTATCGATACTCAAGGGGTAGTATCAATACCATTCTTAGACTTTGGATTCCAATAGTCAATTTTGGTACCGATACTCAAAAGAGTATTGATACCATGGCAAGGGTATACATACCCTAAGTAAGGGTATCAATTCTCAGCCAATTTTTCAAACATCGAGCCCAAATTTGGTATCGATACTAAAGGCAGTATCGATACCCCAGAAGGCCAATACATATATTTCAAATAGGGGTACCGATATTGTTAGAATTCCTTTAATTCCAGTAGCCTATTTTGGTATCGGTACTTTTCGATAATATTGATACTAAGGAATCAATATCGATACTGAGAGGTCTAGTATTAGCATCCTCGTCATGATTTGGGTAAAAAACCCGTCTAATCTCAAGTATTTTGGTTAGGGAAAATCAAGGTCATCAAAACTCTATAAATAAGACTACAAGTGAGAATGACAGTAAAGATTATAATTACAACTAGAAACAACATAAATTAGGAAGACATAAAATTAGCCTTTGTTAGACGCTTGGGAAATGATCCGGACACCCGAGATACTCTAGCAGTAAGATGATCGTTTGTACGCTAAAATGTCTAGACATGTCTTAGTTAGTACACAAGGCACTTTAATATCGATCGGGCATAGATGCCCCAAGTACTTGTAAGTAGGGATGAGCAAAACTCGACTTAATTTAAAAAATCGATTTTTATTTTCAATTTCAAGTTATTTGAGTCAAATCAAATTATAAATTTTGTTTTCGTTTTTGAGTCGAGTTGAAATTTTGAATTTTCGAGTTACTCGAAAAACAAAAATTTGACTAAGAATTTTGATAGTTTTACGATTTAGTCCCTGATTGCATTGTTTCTTCAATTCCTCCTTCATTTTAAGTCAATTTTTTACCAAATTTGAACCACATTCTCCTAATCCATAGCAGAATACATGTTTACTTTAAATTCCTATTTTTGATAACAAATATTTATTTTTTCAATTTAGTCATTCAACCAGATCTCATATACCACAATAGAATACCTATGTAACTTTAATTGTTATTTTTTACTAAAGATTTACTCTCTTTTTTATTTAGTCCCTTAACTTTGCATTTTACTCAATTTGGTCTTTTGACTACAATTGTTTACAAATTCTTTCTTCTCATCAATTTCTTGACTCATTTATACTTTCATCAATATTTTACCCTCAAAATACTTTCTTTAAAATATAATATTATGAATGTATTTCTTAATTTTAGATTGTATTTGATATATTAAATAACATTATATATATTATGGCTAGATAAAGTCAAAAAATTGAAACAAACAATTGCCATAATATTATAAATAATTATAATAAAATTAGTATAGAAACTCAAATAACTCAACTCGAATTTCTTAAACTCGACTCGACTTGAAAAAATTTCAAGTTAAGTTTGAGTTGTAAAATACGACTCGTCAACTCGAATAACTCAAAATTGTTTGACTTGACTTGATCGAATGCTCACCCCTACTCGTAAGGAGTAGGTTGGTCGGGTGGATGTTTCTGATGTAGAAATTTCGGATCCCACCTAGGTAGGCTAGAGGGGTATGTGTCTCTGAGATGTAGTGAAACTGTCCAACCACACCATGATGCCTACTTTTGTATGTATGTTTAGCTTAGCATACTCGTATGTTAATATGTACAATTGCTATCATAAATCATGTAGTGGACGCATGTAGTATAGTTTGGAATTTGTTTCCGTGCACAGGTTCTTAGGAGGAGCATTCGAGGAGTTTATCAAGCAGTCCGTATCCCAGGAGTGTTCGAGGAGTTTATCACGCAGTCCGTATCCCAGACCAACATGAGCTTTTGAGTAAATCTTGAGTCTTTATTAGAGGGCATATATTGTATATGGACCTTCTTGTATTTGAGTCGTAATTGTATTTTGAAATACTTTTTTAACTATTTGGATATATGTTAGGGGCTCCCGATTTGTAAACTTAAACACCATACTTTTAGTTTATGATTATGACTGGCGACCTTAAATCGATGTTATACTTGTTTAAAAAAAGAAAAAAATTTGGGTTAGCCACTCTGGTGGTCCTATGTAATATTTTAGTCCGTTGATTTCTCGGTCGTATCAGATTAGGACGTTATACATACTCTTTTATATCAATAATAACATCGATAAGAATGATACTCATAATTGCCTCTTTGCAAAATCTAGAAGTACATCAAATGGATGTTAAAACAGTTTTCCTAAGTGGATACCTTGACGAAAACATATACATGGAACAATCTGAGGGTCATGTAGTTCTAGATCAAAAATAGAAAGTTTGTATGTTGTTGAAGTCTTCATATGAAATTAAAAAAGCACCAAAACAATAACATGAAAAGTTTGATAATGTCATGATGACAAAAGACTTCAAATAAATGAATGTGAAAAATGTGTATATGTAAAAACTACAAATATTAGATATATCATTCCATGTTTCTAAATACTTTTTGTTGAAAGTAATAATGAAATGATAAAATGTACCAAAGACATGTTAAATTCATGATTTACTAATATGATTTTGAACATCCAAAATCTAATATCTTTCTGAGGGCCTCATATTAATGAGATCACACTACGTGGACAAGAGAAGTTCTAAAAAGACGTTTCAGCATAGCTAGAACTCCAATGGTTAAAACACTAACCAAATGGAATATGCAATGGTTATAAGTTGTCTAAATGAATTGTATTAAACTAGATATTGCTTTCAATATGAGTGGCTTAATCAAATTCACAAGCAACTCAGGGATAAACCTCTGAAAATGATTGTGAGGTAACTTAGATAGCTCAATATTCTCAATATTATGGATTACATTATTCTATAGATTCTGCTGCCTTAGAAGGATACTTCTATATTTGATATTCAAAATATCAAATGCACAAATGAATTTGTTTCATATTGAGAAAATGAGTTATGTCATGGAAATCCTCAAGAAAACGGCTATAATATGATCCACAATAGAACATGAGTTTGTAGCTCTACAAAAGTCTAGAGAATAAGCTAAATGGCTTTAGAATTTTTTTAGAGGATACTCCTGAATGACCGTAACTTGTGTTCGAGTATGTATATATTGAGACTAGAATATAATTTCATGTATAATGGTAAATCGAGACATATGTGTCATTGACATAATATCATTAGACAATTGATCTCTAATGGAGATATATTTATTGATTTTGTAAGATCAAAGGATAATATATCGGATTCATCAACTAAAGGTTTAAATCAAGATCAAGTTGAGAAAACATCTAAAGCAATGATACTAAAGCCCATGAAATTTAAAGGCGTCATGTAAAGGAAAATCCTACCTAGTTGATTGAAGATCACAAGATCTAGGTTCAAAGGGACAACCTAATTACATAAACTATGTACGGTCACTGTAGGGGTCTATCATCCCTAGTTTATTCCTATGATGTAAACAATGATCAAAGTGGTATAGGCTAAGCAAAGCTTTTAATGACCATTGTGTTCTTCGCTAAGCCGAGCAACATAAGTCACCTATGTGAGAGTGAAGTGAGGCCGCTTCAGGGATATTATTAGACATAGTTCATTCAAACTCTTGCAGAACCATGCGATATTCACGGCATTAAGGACAAACCCATGAATAAAATTCTTTTTAGAGGAGTATTTGTGTGAAGTATATCATCATTTACACAAACATTAGAACAGTTCAAGGACATTGCATCTATTGTTTAGCTAGTAAAATAAATATAATGTCACAAGGGAAGGTTCAAACTATCCTATACAATTATCGATTGTAGAGTCCATCACCATATCACGTCAAAAATATTTTGATAAAATCATAATTTTTATTCATATGAGGGATTGTTGGAAAAATGAAGTGAATTCATTGATAAAATATTCTAAATCAAAAGATATTTATTATATCTTTACATTTGAATATTGATAGAAAAATTATGTACTTTTAAATATTTTAAAGTAAGAGATATTATTATTTTTTTAAATTTGAATATTAAAAAGATATCAAAAGATATTAAAAGATATCAATATCTTTTTGAATATTTTAAACTAAAAGATATTTATTATCTTTTTAAATTTAAATATTAAAAAATATGAAATATCTTTTTAAATATTTTCAACTTAAAAGATATTATCTTTTTAGTTTGAATATTAATGATTAATAATATTTTTAGTAAATTCTCTTTTTAGAATCCATATAAACAAAGTGTTAACCTTCTAGGTTAAACATATCTAACAATTCAAGAACTTCAAGTAACTTGAAAATTTTATGTTTTCTCTAGTTTTCCGGTGATAGCCAAAGGCAAGGGATAATTCGTTATCTCGACAACTGTGCTAATGAACTCGAACACCAAGGAGTAGCAGAAAATCTATTTTAAGAAAACTGTATAGTGACATGTCTCAACTCATTGCCGATCAATAGATCAATCATAAAGAATATCTCTTCTTCCTATATATTTTATTTAATTTTTAAGAAGATTATTTTATTTTATTTTATTTTCTCATGTTAGATTTTGTCCACGTCGTTATTATTTTATAACATCTAAATTTTTAATGTAACAGTAATCATTTTAAAATTCTATGTAAATTATTAATCTAAACGCTTTTTTAATGTAAGATATATAATTTTAATAATTCATCTAAATTTAAGAAAAAGAAGAATTTAAAACGTGAAGAGAGGTCTTCCAATCCAATCCACCACTATAAATGAGATCTTGGCGAACATGGAATTATCATTCACCTCGAAGCATAAGATTTGACCATTTTGCTCATCCAACATTCCCCCTGCTCTTCCCACTTCCTCCAACTCTTATTTGCTTTCTTTTGGGGATTGGCATGGATACAAAGCTTCTTTCTTGTGGAATCCCCGCCTCCGGTTTACCAGAAAGTTACGTGAGACCTGAATCCGAGCGTCCCCGCTTGTCTGAATTGTTGGAATACGAAAATGTCCCCGTCATCGACTTGGGGTGTGAGGACAAGAGCCATATTGTACAACAAATTTATGTTGCCTGCATGAACTATGGGTTTTTTCAGGTATCCTGATATTTTTGAAATCCGGGATTACAAAAAATATATGTTCATAATTTTTTAATTATTAACCCCGTGTATATACACGTAAACTCAGCTATTCGAAACTGAGTCCTTTATGAAGAACAATATTTTCCTTCGTCATTGAGTCCACTTTTTAGATTCTTGGATTGTCTTTTTAGAAAGTGAGACTAATTGATTTTGCAATAAATACGTGATGAGGTTATTAATCATGGAGTTCCGAAAGAGGCGGTGGAAAGAATGCTACGGGTGGCGCGTGACTTCTTTGGGTTGCCGGAGGAGGAGAAGATGAAGCTCTACTCAGATGACCCTAGGAAAACCACGAGACTTTCAACCAGTTTTAATGTGAAAAAGGAGAAAGTACATAACTGGAGAGATTATCTACGCTTACACTGTCATCCTCTCCACAAGTATGTTCCCGAGTGGCCTTCCAACCCTCCTTCCTTCAAGTAAGCCTTTTTCTCTTGCGTAATTTGCCCAACCTCATCCATGTCTATTTATTCTCTCACGTGATGCGATCTATTTTATTGATCTCAGGATTTGATTAAATGAAACAGAGTTTTACAGTTTGCATATCTAATCATGCATAGTTCAGACAAAACTCACACTGCTATTTCATATGCTGACAACGAGACTAGGATTTGGGGGTAAAATACTGGCAAAGGTACATGCTGCATTTCTTGGTTTGACAAGCGGCAGACAGTGGGTTCAGATGGTACATGTTCTGATGTACCTTTTCCCCCGTTTTTAACAAGTTAATAATTAAATATTTTATGTAACCTATTAGGGCCCATAGAGGAGGACTCCCACTAAGGATGGTTATGACTCAGATCAACTTGAGTTTTTTTTCCTACCTTTTAAATCTGATCTGATTTAGGAATGCTCTATCTAATCTGAATTTCGACTTGATTTTTGGATAAAAACTTCTACTTAACGGGATCCTATACAAATATAAATATATATTATCTAAATTAGAAATTTAATTTAGAAAAATACATGGAGAGAAATGTATTGTAATAATCATTCTTAGGTCGATTATTTTATTCTCGAGTCAAATTAAATATTTTTTACTTTAAATCTAAAAATAATTTAACTTTATTCTTTTAGAAAAATCCGATTGTTTTAAAAGAATTTGATCTTTAAAATTTAGTAGAATTTGATAATCAACTATTACCTCTCTTTTATTATGGTCAACATACTTCTATTTTCTTTCACCTAATTATATTTTTCAAAAATCATACATAAAATTACATTTTATTTCTGTTTTGGTCACCTTCCAATTCAATTGGGTTTAATTGTTGAGTCAACAAATTTGATCATGTGAAATTGGTATAATAACAATTTTAGCCCATAAAATTTACGTATTCTATTAAATTGTTCATATTTCAAAATAAATAAATAAACTTCAATGTTTAAAAATCTTATCAATTTAAAATATAACGATTTCATGTATTTAATGTTCAGGTTCGAGTTGAACTTCAAATTTTTGATTTCGAATAGAGCTTGAAAATTTAAAGCTCGCAAGCTTTCAATTCGAGCCGAACTTCAATTTTTTTTATTTCGTGTTTGAGTCAAACATGACAGTTTTAAGCTCGCGAAATTTCGAGTGGAGTCAAACTTCAACTTTTTATTTCGAGTTCGTGTCAAACCAGACAATTTTAAGCTCGTGAATTTTCAAGTCGAGCCGAACTTAGTTTTAAGGTTTTTGAGTCGAGTCAAACTCAACAATATGAGCTCGACTCGGTTCGTTTACAGCTATAGTCTAACTTTGACATTAAATGTTTGATGCATTCCATGGAGAAGAAAGCAAAAGATCATTTCTAATGCATAAGTGTCGAATTTGTGTTGAATGGACAGGGAAACTGTAAGTGATTACTGTGTACAAGTTCGAGAGCTTGGTTTTAGATTACGAGAGCTGATATCAGAGAGCTTAGGCCTGCAAAAAGATTACATAAACAACGTTCTAGGGGAGCAAGGCCAGCATATGGCAGTGAACTATTACCCACCATGTCCGGAACCGGGACTGACCTATGGATTGCCTGCACATACAGACCCCAATGCTCTTACAATTTTACTCCAAGACCTCCAAGTTGCAGGTCTTCAAGTACTCAAAGATGGCAAATGGCTCGCCGTTAATCCCCACCCCGAGGCGTTCGTCGTTAACATCGGTGATCAATTACAGGTATGCAGTTAAAAAAACATTACCGCTTTCTTCTTTTCCTAGTCTATTACGTGAAGTTATTGATGATGAATTGCAGGCATTGAGTAATGGGAGGTACAAGAGCGTGTGGCATCGGGCGATCGTAAATTCCGATAAGGCAAGGATGTCGATTGCTTCATTCTTCTGCCCTCAAGACCATGCTTTGATCAGCCCTGCAAAACCTCTCACTGAAGAAGGATGTGGAGCAGTGTACAGGGATTTTACTTATGCTGAATATTACGATACGTTCTGGTCCAGGAACCTGGACCAAGAACATTGTTTGGAACTTTTCAAGAACTAATATTGCCCTATGAAAATTCTACTAAACTCCCTTTAATAGTAAGGCAATGCGCCATTTTCAAGTGCTGGCAATGACAACCGACTGTAACTTGTCCATTTCTACAACATACCAACAGTTGGTGCTTGTGATTTGATTCTTGTTCGATAAAGGATGGGATTATTTTGTGCTGAAAATGTTGCGGTTCCCTTTGTTATTGTATTCCAGCATCGAGGGGAAAATTCATTAATAGGTCTCATTACTAAAACAAATATTGTTCTATCTAAAAGATTCGGATTTAAATAATGGATGGACATCGTCTGCCCCTTTTTTGTGCTCCCTTTCATGCCCCTTGCACCATTACACGCCACGTAGCTATAATATTTATTAATTTTACATTTATATGTGAACTTCCTTTTATATAATTCATTTATTTAATGGTAAATATTAATTTAAATTATTTTTTGATAAAAATATAATTAATTTAAATTAAATTATATTAAATAATATCTTTTAATAATACATATATTTATATTGTATATATTATTATAATAATTCGGTTTTGATAAAAATATTATCTACGTAAGGCAGTAGAATATAAAAATATTTTAGAAAGTATTAACATAATTTAACTTAGATATAAATTATTTTATTATTTTAATTAAATTATTTTAGTAATTTTAAAGGATTAAAATTAGGGCTAACTACACAGATGATCACTTATGCTTATGTTTTGTCCAATTTTGATCATTGATTTCAAAAAAATAAAATCTGATCACTTTAGTTTTTATTTAATTAAGATGAGCCACTTCGAGTTACCTATCATTAATAGTAGTTAATTTTTTTGATATAATCACATATTTGGTCCCTGTTATTTACATATTCTCTTAATTTAGTCATAATCTGATATGAATCTTTAAGGTCGAATTCTCATTTTAGTCCCTTCATTATGCTTAATTTTGTGATTGTTTTTTTAAAAGGTAAAATACATTCTTAAATATTAAACTTTGATCATATTTTTGTTTTGATCATTGAGCTATAAAAAGTTAAAATTATAGTACTAAAGTTTTCTAATTCATTTTTTGCCATCAAATCGTTAACATTTTAACGAGGTTTATGATGTGATTTTTTTCTTTTGTAAAAAGATCTTAAATCATTTCAATTATCATCTACCTACATATGTGACATAGATGATACAACAATGTTTACCTTTTATCCCTCATTTTCTTCTCAATAATTTTGTTTTTCTCATAATTCATTCAAAATCAATGAAAATCAAGTCATAATTTTAATCTTCTAATGCTCAAATAAGTGTCGATAATGGTCTGATGAAGTTAGTTTCATAATATATTATTTTTCTTATTGAAAGCATGCTTCTTACTATTTAAATTTTTGGTTGACCACGTCCAAACCCATTAAATCGAGAAAGCTTTTACCTCTATAAGAAAGAAAGAGATAAGTGTTAAAATTTTGTGAATTTTATAAATATTTTGACAAAATTAAATTGATAATGATAATAAAATTTTTTATATGTATCTAGAGTGACCAAAGATATAAGAGAATGTGATAAAATGATAGTTTATAAACTATATAATTAGATTTACTTTATCATATACATCAATTGAATAAATCTTATAGTTAACAAACTAACAAAATAGATTTAAAAGTAGGACTAAATTTGAGAGAATATGTAAATAACAATGACCAAATATGTGATTATATCAAAATATTTAACTGTTGTTAACGGCAGTTAACTTGGGGTGATCACATATTCGTTAAATAAAAATGAAAGTGGTCATATCTTATGTTTTTTAAATCAGTGACCGAAAATCGGCAAAACACAAACATAACTAATCATCTATGTAGTTAATCCTTAAAATCAATGCTATCAGTATCATATCAATGGGTACATTTTTCTTTGATATCGATGAATAATGATATTGATGTACATTGATCTATCATTTATTTAATGCTTATCATTTTAAATATATATTAAAATATATATTTTTATTTACGTAATTAAAATATATTAGTGTTATATTATATATCAAATTTATTTTTAAAATGATAAACCTAAAAGAAATGATAGATCGATGTACATTAATATGGATATGTATCAATATTAGAAAAACTATATCTATTGATAGAATTAATTTTAATCCTTTAAAATTACTAACACAATTTAATAATAATATAAAATAATTTATATCTAAATTAAATAAATTTAATAGGTTACTATTATTTTTTTATATTCTAATACCTTACGTAGATGATATTTTGTTGAGTTATTATTATAATATATATAATATAAATATATGTACAATTAATAATATTTATATTAAAATATATTATTATTATTTTAAATTAACCATTGGTATCTGATCTATTGACTGACTAATCCAGATCAGGTTTTGCAGATGCCCATTATGGGGGCGACCCTCCCAACCTAGTTTGCTCCATACGCAAACGCCAAAATTCGAATCCCTAACCTTACTTAAGGAATCTAGTGGCTCAATCTTCTAGATCAATTCGTTGTTGGTATTAAAATGTATTATTTAATATAATTTAATTTGAATGAATATTTATCATTAAACAAATGAATTATATAATTAAACGAAAGAATTATATAAAAGGAAGCTAAAATATAAATGTCGATACTCATTTTCTTCCGAAGACCGCTATTATTATTGTTGTTGTTGTTTTTGTTTTTGTTTTTGTTGTTATTTTTATTTTATTTCTTATTTTATTTACAAACCAGACTTAAACCAAACCCAAACCAGGCCCAAACCAAACCCAAACCTGGGCCCAAATTGAAACTCAACCTAAACCTAATCCTAGCCCTGCTGCACCAGTCCCCTGCCACCGTCATTTACACCAACCACATTAGCATTGTCGTCACACCAGCCCCTGCCACCAGATTCTAGCTCAGCCACTAGATCCCAACAACAAGCAAAGATCAAATCAATACCCTTTTTTATGTTATTTCAAAACTATGACGGGTATTATAAAACCAAAAAAAATAACAATGTAAACAGGGGGTCTCTCCATTTTTCGAAGGCAATAAAAAAAATTCAGGGCAACAACTTCCATTTTTTCATTCGAAATATAACACTTTTTTTAGCAATAACAGAGAAAAAAAGAGAAGAGGTTACCTTTGGCTGAGCACCCCACCGGTGTTAGGGACTTCCTTTTGTTAATCCGAATGGTTAAGAGGAGCACACGAGAGAGGAGAATAACATACTATGGAATCAACCCGATCTAACGGTGGATGGCAGAGATCGAAATGTTTGAAGTCGAGAGGCTTTTGACCTTTTTCGTGGGGCTTGAGGCCGATTTTTGTGAAACCAGGGGTAGAACCATGACCGCCTCCTCGAGGAAAGTCAGTCTAGAAATTTTTGGCCCGAACAACCAATTACACCGCAACGGTATTGTGGCTAACGATAGGGCCAGGATTTAGATAGAAGAGAGAGTTTCTCTATAGAAATAGACAAAAAGAGGGAAAAATGAAAAAAAGAGGAAAGTGGGGATTTATAGGCGCCATCAAACGACATCGTTTTGGGGCTATGAAATGTGTTTCGGCCCCAATGGTCTAATCTCCTCCGTGGTCCTCCCAAGTTTCTCTAGCCTACATTTTGGTCACTGTCATGCGATATTTTTAAATAAATTGTCCTTATTTTGTTATTTTACCATTTTAATGTTCTAATACTAACTTTTTGGTTTATTTTCTTTCAGGTCCCCCTATGTTTGCTATGTTTTCGCATTTTGGTCACTGGACCTCTCTTTTTCTAATTTATTGCATTTTATCATTCTTTTTTATTTTATTTCATTTAGTCAATGTTTTATTTTGACATTTATTCTAAATTGGTTACTGATTTTTGTTTTGTTTTATTTTAGTCACTTGATGTATTCTGTTTTATTATTTATTCATGAATTTTGTGTTGTATTTTTAATTTATGCATTTTAGTCATTTTTTTATTTATGATTTGGCCATGTTTTTTATTTGATTACATTTTGGTCCCCATGTCTTATTTATTTTTGTTTATTATAAATTCAAGATGTAATGTTAAAAGTGTTCATTTTGGTCACTTTTGCACTTTATTTTATTTTAATTTTTGACATGATGATTTATTCGTTTACATTCTAGTCCTATTTGCATTTTATCCTTATTTTAATTTTTGCATGTTGCTTTTATGTTATTTTATTTTATTCACTAATTAGTTTTGTTCTCTATTTTAAATTAATTTGAATGATACCCTCGTAAGCATTTATTGACTCGAATCAAAATAATTTGAATAAGAGTAATATTCGTTCATTTTAAGATTGTCGTAAAGTAATTGTCTTAACGTATAAGAAAGTCACTTTCAGTAATTTTAAAATGAAAGTCTATCCCATTAAGTAACACGAATTAAATTGAATCCATTTTAAAATCTGGGGATTGAGAAAAAGATCATGTTCTTTTAATTAAGTTCATCGAGAAAAGATTGTTAAATCAAATTTAAGGTCTCGTCTCGATGTATTTAAATAATCGAACATCCTTATTCTCGTTAAAACTTGGTAAAATAAATAATTAATTGTACTTGCTTGATGTATGTTTTTAATTTTTATTTTTGCATGTTTTTTTCATGATTTCAAAAACAAATAACAGTCGAATTAATATTAAATTTTAGGATGAAATAGTAATATCTCTTCATTTTGATTGGAGTAATAAATTATTGCTTTAAGGCATGAGAGGTCATTTATTCTTGATTGGAAATAATGAGATATTATCGTTTTCTCTCGAATCAATATTGAATTTTAGGACGAAATAGTAATATATTTTCAATTCGATTGGAGTAATAAATGGATGCTTTAAGGCATAAGAGGTCAATTATTCTCGATTGGAAATAATGAGATATTATCTTTTTCCCTTGAATCAATATTGAACTTTAGGAAAAAATAGTAGTATCTCTTCATTTCAATTGGAGCAATAAATGAATGCTTTAAGGCATGAGAGGTCATTTATTCTCGATTGGAAATAATTAGATATTATAGTTTTCTCT